TTGGTGGTATTGTCCTTAGACTAGGTATCCCCCAAGAGGATGTGAGATAGAAAAGATGCGATTGGGTGTAGAATCAATGCTTTGAAATGCACAAAGCCTCTTGCACTGGTAAAGTATGAATAGGTGTTGTTCATATCCTTTTGTAAATAATCACAACCATTCAAAATAGGTGCAACCCCTTGAAGGGTTATGTTTTTTCCACTGACAAGACAACCGCTTGGATTGATCACTTCCTAAACCTACCCTATCTCTCATATGTGAAATAATTTCCAATAAACCATTTTAAGAGTCCTGTTTTATTATAGTTTAATGTATATCTTGTAAATTCATTCTATGTCCATTTTGGCTTTCCTCTTGTGCTTAACGGTGCATTCATCTGGAACAATAGACCATCAGTATGCTAGTCAATTTTTATTATTTGGATGCCCCTTGTGCTCATAAACATGTAAGCTGTCCATACCTCGTAATCATTGTTAGTTTCTAAGTTCTATCCCTGGGAGTCTCTTCATGACAAGATCAGAATATTAGAGCTTTGACAGTGCTTTGAATTGACCTAAGTAGATTTTCTACAACCATTATGGTGTTCTGGAGTTGAAGGCTATAGAAACTTCCAGCTTTGAATGACTCCAAACATACAAGGAAAAATATTAGAATTAAAGAAAAAAAAGGAAAAATGAAACAAACAACGTAAGAAGAATAAAGTCTATATTTGGAAAATTGATTTCGTTCTCTTTATGTGCAGGTTAAGAAGAGAGAATAAATTTTAAGAAAAGCAAAGGTTGTTTTCCTGATACACACAGTGAAAAGAAGCTAATTGCCAAGACATATCTACAAGAAAGCTTAGAAGCATTTTCAGGAACAAAGCTGCACAAGCAACTAAAGTCCAATGCTGACGAAGCTCAGATCAGTTTTACTTCCAGCAGCTGAGAAACAGCATTTAACAGCAGAATAACATACCTGGGAAGCTTTACTTGTCTTGCTGTGGAATACCATAAAGTTGCACACAAATTTTCATGTAAATCTGAATTCCGAGTTGGCTCATTGACATGGTTGTTTAGATTTCCAGAGCTTGTTAAGACAGTGGCTATTTGATGTCTACACTGTAATGTGGTGGTTGAGCAAGCCCATATTTGAAACTGTCTTTTGAGCCAGTGTTTTTTAATTAATTTCAAGACTACTATATGTTATTCATCTTGTCCTTCATTGCTCTCAAACGAGGTGTCATGTGTGCCATATGCAAGTTACGATCAAAATAAGTGATGGTTATGAACTATTGTAGCATTAGACAATGAGCCATTGTGGTGGTGTCGGGCTACCAAACTATCAAATTAAAGTTGGTTAAAACTTCTCGTATTTTGTTATGTTTCCATAGTGGTAAATTATGTTACAATCGCAGTGGTTCTTGGTTAAGATGGAGGTTTATTTTTAGGTTGGGGTTCACTTTGTATTCTTGTAATGTTTATGCTGTTTGTCTGGGTCAATCATGTTTTCCTCCTTTTGGATTGAATGCTTAATAGAAGTGTTCTTTTCAACTTCATTCTATAAAATGTTATTATTACCTTACTACTGAAAGAAAAATCATGATAATGAACTACTTACAATTGCCATGGCTAACTCTAATTTCAAGCTCAAATAATTGGTTGAAGGTCATCTATGTCTTGATGATTATGCATTGACTTGAACCATGGGCACAGATCATCGTGCAATGCACGACGTCCCGCAACTAGTATATATATCTATCTATTTTGTTCAAGTAAAAACAAAACCGATGTCGATAAAAACTTTATGGCAACGTCCTTCAACTGTTCTGTCTTATAATGAAATAGGAGAACAATTTTGGATGCTAAACTAATTGACCATCAATCAGAGGGTGTGTGGAGGTATCCTATCCTTTTGATCACACATCATATGAAGCAAGCTTTGAATGGCCTGTGAAATATACTAGGCGACAAACTCAGCATGAAGTTAAATTCCTAGGCAGACCAAACTTAGACCTTTTGCATTTGCTTTGATTCTATACGTTACTATTTTCCTTAGCATAGACAAGATGTACTTGGTATTCTTAAGAGTCTTTGTACAACTAAAGTCTTTAACTAATCTGTTTACTGGGCATAGCATTACATGTTTCTCTTTATAGATCACTGTTACAAATTATGATCTCAAATAATTGATAGACATTCTCTCTTATATTTTTATGAGTGATGATTGTTGGAGTCATTGAATATTATATAAGAATTTTTTTTTATTTTATGAATTTATTGTCATTTTGATAATTAAACTGGCAATGGAAGCTTTTATGTCCTCTGGTGGAGGAAAATAATTATATAAAAAAAATAATTATTATTTTTGGGAATGTGGGGTTGGTGGAAGCAAATTGTTTGCCCAATTTATGCTGTGTTTGGATAATGGATTTGAACATTGATTTGGAAAAGGAAAAGATACAACATGATGGTGAAAAATTGTGAATGAAATATAAATTTACTTTTTATTTCATTTCTCATTTCCTTTTCAAATCTCTACAGAAATTTATGATGCAAATACAATACTTGAAAAGGTTAGGCTACAATACTTGTCATAAATACCATATGTAGATTATAATCAAAATTGGTATTCGTTTCAAACTATTACAGTGCTAGGTTACAGGGTATTATGGTGGTGGAGCAAGTAAATTATTAAATAAAATTGGTTAGGATTTAATACTTATTATGTTGTTTGATTATATTTTAAAGTGATTACGAGGGATTATGGTGGTGGAGCAAGCAAGCTATTAAGATAAAAGTGATTAGAACTTATTATGTGTTTGGTTATATTTTAAAATGATGTTTGTTATAACTCATTACAATACCTTTAGTTACAATAAAAATATTTCTTATTTACATGTTACGTCGTAAAAGTAATACTAATTATGATTTATATAAGAGTATCTATGATCACACAACATAATAAGAAATGAGACATAATAATCATTGATTTGATAATTTATTATTTCAATCACTATAATAAAATGTAACCAAACACCATTATACTAAATATTAATTTAAACCATAACATGCCTCTCACTACAATTGGATGTAACCAGCATTATTTTAGAACATAATCCAACATTAGAACATAGTCCAACATTCTAACAAGACATAACAAATTTAATTTAACAATGAGTTAATTACTTAATATTATATTTTTACAAAAATTTCGCTTTTCTTATCTAAAATTTTGTTAGTATAAAAAAAAATAAAATTAAGGTTTGACTTTTGTACCAAAATAAAACTTTTTTTTTTAATTTCATCAATTTAAATTCTAAATTTTGATTTGTTTTGAATTTAAATCATTTGCTTATTTTCATGAAACAAAAAAGTATTTAATCATTAAACTGAATGAAAAGAATCAGGCATTTAGCCTAATGGTTGTATAGTGGAAAAGAATTTTATATCTTTTGTGGTGATATTTATTTGTTCCCCATTATTATGGGGTTGTAGGTGATTAGTAGTTATTGGGCTTGGACTTTAGACATTTTATATATATTAAAATATTATTTTTCTTCAGATTTTACTTTATCAAAATGTACAAATCATTTACAGTAAAAATAAATTAAAAGATTAAGAATTTAATTGATAAAATAAAAAGGAATTTTTTTTAAGGTCCCTCATATTAAGATTTTATAGCATAAAGGATATAAAATATTTTCATAGTAATTAGGGTCCCTCAATTTTTAAAGAGAAATTTCGATCCAAAGAAATTTCAACACACAGAAATTTGTCTGAAATTTGTCAGTTTTAAATTTCTCTAATTTGAAATTTTTCTAGTTTGCTCAATTTCTCTATATTTTCAAATTTCCTGTGGTTTGAAATTTCTCTAGTTTGCTCACAATTAGGTTACTAATTTAGGTTACTTGTTTGATTTTCACTTATTTGTTGTCTCCTTGTGTATAATTTTTCTTTGAGATGAATTTTCTCTAGTACTAATATATCCCTTTTAGATTAATTTTCTCTGAAAACACTGGTCTTCCTTTTTTCTCTGTGCCTTGCTTGATTTTCTCTCAAATTTTCTCTAGTATTAGAATTTTCTTTGCCCACATTAAACTCCCACTAATTTATGCTGCTTGTTTGATTTTCATTAGTTTTTTGCCTCCTTATGCTGAATTTTCTCTAGCATCTGTATTTTCTCTGACTACAATAAAGTCCAATTTTTTTTGTGGCTTCTTGATTTTCTCTGTCTAGTTGTGTGCTTAGGTGTGTAATTTTCTCTGTTTGAAAAAATATCAAGGATTTGACATCTTTAATGATGAATTTTTTATCATTGTGCTGAATTTCCTATTGACATCTTTATGTTTTCATTGTCTAAAAATAGCAAAACGCAGTAGTAGCAAAACACCTGAAGCACCACAAAAGAAACAGAAAGTTGTTGAGTCTTCTAGTTATGGGCTAAGATCAAAATGTAACAATAGCAAAACACCAGAAACACCGCAAACAAAACAAAAAGTCTCTGTCACTACTAGTAATGAGCTGAGACCTAAAAGCATCAGCAAAACACCATAAACAAAAATAGAGAGGCCAAACCCAACAGGCAACTAGCATCAAGAAGACACCAACTCTAAAAGTCTCAAGCTCAAAGGAAAAAAGAAGTTGCAGAGAAAATCAATCTCAACCAAACTACTAGCTTCAATAAGATCAAGCAAGCACATAGAGTAAAGTGAATCCAATGTGTTTAGAGAAAATTGTGATGCCAGAGAAAATTCATTTCAATAGGAAAAATATACACAATGAGACAATTAACCAGTGAAAATCAAACAAGAAACATAATTGGATGGGTCAGGAAAAATTTAGATGCTAGAAAAAATCAATCAAGGTACATAAGGTAATGTGATTATAATTGTGGTTAGAAAAAATTCAAATTCTAGAGAAAATTCATCACATGAAAGAAACTAATTAGCGAAAATCAAATCAAATTCAAAGAAGAGAATCCTAAGATTGAAGAAGCCATTATTATTTGCTTTAATTTTGTTATTGTTCTCAATTTAGAGAGAGAGCCACCGCGGCGAGAAAGGCTATGACAGAAGAGAGGAGAGAGAGAAAAGAGAAGAGAGAGGAGAGAGTGAAAAGAGAAAGTAGGTGTGATAAACGGGTGTGAGTGAGAGATCTTAGGCGAAAAAAATTATAAATCTTTCCCATTAGTAAAAGTTGGAGAAAGATGTATGATCAATTTTCCTAGAACTAAAATTAAAGATTTATAAAAGTTAAATTTATTATTATTTTCATTAATTTTCTCAATTCTGTTTGGAAAAATTACAAATGAGTGTATGTTTTCAAAAATAATTGTGTACTACTACAGTCTGTACTCCTCTCTTCGTCTCACTCACTCACTCTCTATCTCTCTCGATCTCTCCTCTCAGACACACAGTGACAGAGTTTGAAGAAGATGTTAAGAAGAAGAGTTTCTGTTTCTTCGATTATTGGACGAAGAAGAAGAAGAATTGCCGATCATAATTGTCAAAAAGGTACAATATTTCCCTCTCTAATTAACCATCCCTCTTCTTTCTTGTTTGTTCTGTTTCGTTGTTCTCTCTCTACTACTACCCGAAACCCTAAAACTTTACCAACACTGCGATGCAATGATCTCCAAGACGCTGTAAATTCGTTCAATCGCATGATCCAAATGCGACCTTTCCCCTCCATTTCTCAATTCAACAAAGCTGTAGGTCCTCTTTTGAAAATGGGTCATTACGACCTTGCACTTCCTCTTATTGGGAAATTGCATTTTCTAGGCATTCAGGTCGATATCTGCACCTTCAACATTGCTATTAACTGTTATTGCCGCCTGAATCAAGTCCATTTTGGGTTCTCTCTTTTGGGTACCCTCTTCAAACGCGGTTATACACCTGATGTAACTACCTTCAACACTCTGTTAAATGGACTTATTTTGGATGAGAAAACCCCTGAAGCTGTAGAGTTATTTAAGAAATTAATGAGAATGAGAGAAATTGAACCCGATGTGGTTATGTATGGAACCATTGTTAATGGGCTCTGCAGAACGGGGAACACTATCAGGGCTGTTAGTTTGCTTAGGATAATGGAAGAGGGAAGCTGTAAACCTGACACCATAGTGTATAACACAATCATTGACAGTCTTTGCAAGGATAGAATGGTGGATGATGCTATGAAACTCTTTTCTAAGATGAATCAACAAGGCATTCATCGAGATGTTGTCACTTATACCTCCTTGATTCATGGTCTATGTAATTTTAGTTGGTGGAAGGAGGCTACCGGAATGTTTAGAGAAATGTTGGATAGTGATATTGCTCCGGATGTTCATACGTATAGTGTGTTGCTAGATGCATGTACCAAGGAAGGGAAGATGAAAGAGGCAGAGGGGGTACTTGAAGTCATGATACAAAGAGGTGTGGATCCTAATGTAGTCACATACAGTACTCTAATGGATGGATATTGTCTGCAAGGCCACATGGATGAAGCAATTAGAGTGTTCAATGCCATGGTGGAGAGGGGCCTTCAACCTAATGTGTTTAGCTATAACATTCTAATCAATGGATATTGCAAGAAAATGAAAATAGATGAGGCCATGCTTCTCTTTCGAGAATTGCCTCAAAGGGGGCTGAAACCCGACAGTGGAACTTTCAACGCTATTTTATGGGGTTTGTTTCAAACAGGTAGATGTGGAGCTGCTCAAAAACTTTTTGACGATATGCAAGCTGCAGGCATAAATCCAGATTCTCGAACTTATGGTATCTTATTGGACGGGTTGTGCAAAAATGGGCATATTTCTGAAGCATTGTCATTATTCCATATGATGGAAAGTAACGGTTTACTTCTTGATATTGTTAAGTATAATATCCTCATTGATGCATTCTGCAAGGATAAAAAGTTTGACACTGCAAGGGCCATTTTCAGTTACCTTTCTTCCAAGGGATTACAACCTGATGTTAAGACATACACTATCATGATACAAGGTCTTTGTGAAGAAGGCCTACTACATGAAGCTAAAGAGTTGTTTGTTAAAATGGAACAGAATGGTTGCTTGGCAGATGATGTCACTTACAACACTATTATCCGAGGATTTATTGGGCAACACAAGTGCTATGAGGCATTAATACTTGTTGAGGAAATGGTTCAAAGGGGTTTCTCAGCAGATGCATCCACTTTTCCCTTGATTGTGGATATACTCTCAACTAAAGGACAAGATCCCGCTCTTCGAGAAGTGATAAAGAAGTTCATGCCAAAAGATAATCATGGAATGCATGATATTGAGTAAATTTTTTAAGCTGTGAAGGTAATTCTACATTATACTAAAACGTGTATTTTATCCCAAATAAATATATTTATACTAGCACGTCCTCGTATAGGCCTATGCTCACAAAAAGTGTGTTATTAGGTGAAACTCATTTATAGATGTTGCATTATGATATTCTTTCTTGTACCGATATGTACCAAACTTATTACAAAAATGGTACACGAAGTGGTATGATATTAACAAAATTGGTTGGGTTTTATTATACCTCTTCTCTTACACTAGGATGAACTTATTGAATTGTCATTTGAAAAAAATGGTAAAAATTAAATGCTTAGGGAATGATCACTACGTTTACATAAAATAATAATGTTAAAACCTATCACCTACTTCACCCACTAAACCTAACCTACTACACCACTACCACCTCACCTACTCCACTAAACCTAACCCACTACACCACTACCACCTCATCTACTCCACTAAACCCACTACACCACTACCACCTCCACTTCACCTACTCCACCTACCACCTCCACTTTACCTACTCCATCTACCACCTACTCTTCTATATATAGGAATCATTGTAGCATTCAATAATTCAACAATTACAAACATCAATCAATAATACAATTCTCTTTAACAATAATAAAATTAAAAGTTTTATTAACAACATGTTGCGTAATAACTAGATGTTGCTGAATGTTCACTACTATAGTGTCGTAGCAGCCTTTTTAGCAAGGTAAGCATCATTTATGTTTTCAAGAATTTTTGAGTTTTATTAATGGTTAGATGTTGCTAATAACTTATAGATTCTCTTATGATGTTGCTCACTAATTGAGTACTTATTATCAATGTTTGAATATATTTACCTGTTGTTTTTGATGAACAAGGTAAAGGAGCTAAACTATACAATTTTGTCTATGGGCTAAATTTGTTAAAATGAGGCAAAAGTGATCTATGCTTCTGATTTCTATATCTTTTGTTCACATTACCAAATGCAGCCCGATGGATATTATTTAGGTTGAAGTGGCCTAAATGGTGCTCTTTTCTTGATGGATGTTGAGTTGAGCCAACACCCAGCAATTTACCTGTAGTATTTGAGAATAATTCTACTTGTCAACCTTTCAATTTTGTGTGGTATAAGAATAAAGTCCATGTATCTAGGAAATCTCTCTCTCTCTCTCTCTCTTGCTGGTAAGAATAGAGAAACGACTTCTCGAAAAGCAATGGCTGGCTGCTTACCTGATAGTGGTTGACAAATTAGTATTAAGGATTTTTCCATCTAAACAAACCACTGTTTTCTATATGAGATTGTAAATACAGTTTCATGGTTAGCCGTTTGACCTCTAATGCACGCGGTGAGAAGCTAATTACTGAGGCATAGCTACCAATAAAGCTAGAAGCATTTTTCAGGAACAAAGTTGTACAAGAACTGAAGTCCAATGCAGACGAAGCTCAGTCGTTGCAAAGATCGAGGTAGCAATTAAAGAGCTCTACACTGGATTTATGTGTTGGGGTTGTGCCTTAGTATGCCCATTTTATAGTTGTTTTTGGATAATTCTTGCGAATATATTTGACCTGAAACACCCCCGCCCCAACCCCTTAACATTACCTTCACCTGTGTGTGGAGACAATCACCACCAAAAAGGGAAAATGGGAAGAAGTACAGGCTCACCTTGTTGATCAACCGATAGCCAGCTCTAAAAATCACTTCTTCCACTTGATTCTTCAAAAGATAATTGTAATGTTGGTAAGAACATCCTACAATGTATGTGGCATTCAAGAGAGAGGGTGGGTTTAGGTATTTGTTTTCTTTCCTTGGTCCTGTAGCTATGGTAAATGATATTGGCTACTTCTGCAAGAACAGAATAAGGAAAAAAAATATAGTAATGACATATTGATTCTAGCTACACTAGAGGCATATCTAATAATAAAATTATTTGTTTTGAAATCAAGTTCTACTCTATGATATAACATATGCTCATTCGTGATGAATTTGTTGTTGAAGTGCGATCTTGGCATGTTAAGCCATCTCTGCAACCATGTGTGGACTCCAGAAACCAGCTTTAATTTGTTTTAGCTTAAACAATGCACAAAACTACCTGTCAATGGAAAAAAAGTTAAAATAAATCTTGGCTGTTTATTTTATATTGTCACATTTCCAAAAAAAATAGTCACCCTTTCATTTTTCACCTAGTTTTTTTATCAGTAAAGTAAAAATTTCATTAAAAACATGAAATAAAGTGTGATCTTTATTAGCTTTGACTCAGCACTAGGCTCTTGTATATTTATTTATGATTGCAAATATCAGTCTTCTTCATTCTTTTCTAGGAGATTGGTATATATATATATATATATATATATCTGTGCACTTATACATAAGAGGGAGTTAGTAGTTGCTCCAATAAACATGGCTCTCTTTTTGCTTTCCATTTTTGTCCTCCTTTATTCTGTTCAGCTTTTGTTTTATTGAAGAGTTTTAGATTAATTGGTAAATGCACAGATTACTCACTGTGTGTGTAGGAGAACCAGCACATCTCCCTCTTGCTAACCACGTCTACCGTCTGCCTCTTCTCTCTCATTATGTCGTCTCACTCTCTTTCTCTCACTCCCTGCATTTCTCTTTCTCTCAGTCCTTACATCTCTCTTTCTATCTCTCGACAATGACAGTGAGATCACATTATGGACGACGGTCAATGGCTCACGATGATGATCTGAAAATTGTACTAGAGATGGGTTAAATGTAGGCGATTTTGATGACGATGGGTTTGTGATTTGTACGACGATCTCGAAGCTGTGTTGGACCAGATCTATGGGTTTAACTATGCGTTCAACCAATGTCAAATGAGGTATCAAAGAGCCTTTGGCCTTGTTTGGTTTGTATTTGAGAAACATGTTTTGAGATAAAAAGTACGAAAATTTGTTTGGTTTGGCTTTTTTTCAAAAGATGTTTTGAAAAATTATTTTGAGAGAGAGTTTTGAAAAAAATGATTGATTTGATGTGTATGAGAGAGAGATTTGTTTGGAAAATTTGTAAACCAAACAAGTTTTGAATTAAGATTCAATCAGTAAATGAGGATCATCACAATCATCATCAATCAGCATCCTAGATGGTTCATTTGTGTTGGGCACTTCCACAAAATTTGAATCATTTGCAAGGTAATGGTCATACAAATGAGTCGGACAATCTTTCACTTGACCAGTCATTGTATTGACCACACTTTCACCAAACAATTGAGAAATTTGCGAGAA